GCCCTAGACGTCATTACTTGGCCTGTATTTTTCTTTGTTTTTTAATGACGCTTCCTGCCAGTTAGCCTTAAAAAGGTTATAATTTATTTTTATATTGAGGAAAAATTATCTTTAAATGGTGTAGTTTAAAATTCAAGAAATTTTTTTATGGAAATAGATTTGTGTGTCTGGAAACTCCATTTGTGTGTCTGGAAAAGTTGTATGTCAATTTTTAGTAAATGACGTCTAGAGAATGGCCTCGCCAAAATTTTCATCGACTGTCATTCCCCAGCCGTTTTTGACGCAGTTTTTTTATCATAAAGTATCTTTAGTTGGATACCATTAATTTCAATGACCTGAATGTTTATTAGTTAACTATTTGCTTATATTTTTTTATGAATATGTTATTTCATTGTTTATATTACATCCTTTACCCGTTAACCGTATTTATCTGTAAAGTACCTGTGACTTCCACATAAACTTTAGCGACAGGCGACAGGCAAAGTAAAACCCCCTGAACTTAGAATATTATTTATACACCTACTGTAACGTAGTTTATACAAAGATCCTGTAAAATTTATTCGATATCGTCAAAAATAGGATTAATCTACTACGGTAGTAAACTGGCGTAACAAATTGTCAATTTTAACTGACACAACCCTGAATTTGACTATTTGTCAGTTTTTCCAAATTTATTTCCCGCCATAAAATAACCTGCCACGTGTTGGCTGACTTGATAAATGTGGCCGATAGGCAGGCGGGGACTGCGTCCGATTTTTTTTCGGTCAGGTGAATAGTAAACGCCTGAGAAGATTGAATGAGGGATCATTATTCAAATTTCAACGATGACAAGCCACCAGAATTGGTAAAGATATTAAATAGTGCCAAGGATGCATAATAGATACATTTATATTGAAAAGGAGGTGGTATATTTTATGCACAAAAAACGAACTTGAACACTAAGAAAGTTTTACCAAAAAAATTGCTCTTAAATAGGTTCTAAGTAACTATACTTAGTACGCAAAGTACCGATAAAGGCTTGGTTATTATAAATATTAGTAACACTAACAGAATGTAATGTAATAACTAAGTGTACAAACAAACAAAAACTTTTTCTGCTATAATTGTCTGTAGATGTCGGTTCATACTGTTAATGCTCCAAATATATTGTGTTATGTTTTTCCGTGTGTTTCCCCATTCTTCTTCAAGGACCGATTCTTCTTCAAGCGAATCTTCATAATTTCGGCCATCTTCAACAAGACCAATAAATTTTGCACAATATTCGACATTAAGAACGAAGAAGATATTCAATCATACACAACAATAATCACCAAAGCAGGTAGCTTTGGTTAAGTCATTATGAAGAATAACATCAAAAATTGAATATAATTGAAAAAAACTGCAAAATATTAGTGGCAAGTTTATTTTGCTTGAAAATTATACAGTCTTGCTTAAAAATTGACCAAGGCAAGTGTTGACATGACTCAAAAAAGAAAATATACAAAAGACATGGTTCTGGCCGAAAAGTAATGTTTTAGGAAAACTCGCTCAAGAAATTATTGTACAGGTTGTTTTAAAAATAGGGTAAAAAATAACTCTTCGATTAACCCTGTCTAATAAGTCAAATACTAAGGTTTATAATAAACTGAGTTTACGAATTAAAGTTAATATATTTATATGCAGTTTGCCAAACAAATCAAGGAAAGCAAGGACCAAAAATTAAAAAAAATATAACATTTTAACCTTGACCAAAGATTTTTCCGTTGAGTTTTATTTATTCTTGAAACACGGAAACACAAATTCAGCAAGTGCGTGCAATGAACACGGAGGTCTGCTGCCTTTGAGATGAAACGAAGAATTGAGAAATTGAATTCCAGTTTGAGCTACGAAAAGTACGCACGATGAGTTGTAAATTTACAATGAAAGTTTCTTGCGCAAATGATTAATTTTACACCCACAAAAAATGTACCAGCGAGAATTAGTCTTAAAAAATGCTACAAATATGATTATACAACTGTTAAAGTCCATCATTATTTATCTCCGAAAACAGACACTTTTAATTAAGTCGTGTACATGTCAGATTTATGCACGACTACCGGATGGTTAGATGAATATAGGTACACCTACATTATTTCTTATCTAAGATGTAAATGTAAATAAAAATAAGGACCCCATACCATTGGATATGTTCAAATGGATTCCAAATGTTCTGAAAAAATGTCGTCATTTGTATTATAAAATATACAAAAGGTGTTTGAGATCAGAAATTTCTTTTTTGACATTCTTACATGCATATTCTTCTTTGCTGTTGGGAAACATCTCTCCTACGACTATTTCATAGTATAAGTTCGTGTTACCATGATGCCATAAAAAAACGGTGTCAAGTTAGCCTTTGTAATGACAATCAGTAATGTATGTAAAAACGACTTCTATAGGCATGGTGCATTTCAGCTGATTTCAAAAAATTCCGACAGCCGCGACGCGCTGAATACGGCAGAAATTAGAAATTTTCACTGTGTATTTCTCGCCGTCCCGGTTACAGTTCATGTTGATCGCATTAAAATAGCATTGAAATCGTGGCTTTGTCATATCTACCAATTTAATATTTGTAGAGTCATATTTTAATTCCGATTTAATAATCATATAATAAATAGTATAAAATACCGCATGATCCCAAAAAATGGCATCCAGTTGGCTTGGAAAAATTAAATACCTTACAGATACTCCCGTACTAAGCACAGTATAAATAAGTTTTTCCTTGTAAATAACATTCTTATCGTTTGCATTTATGCCCATGATGTTTGTTTAGGGCTTTTGTTCAAGTGTAAATATTGGTGCCTGCATTTATGCCTATGTCACCGCCGGCACCGCGCCGTAGAAACGAACGATCGCATTGTGATCCGATTCAATTCTCACGATTCCTTTTTACGGCTCATCGTTCAAATCTTATGGATCCGTGCTGGCCACGATTCAATTGAACGAACCGTATTGTAAGCAATGAGTCAATTCTCACAAATCTTTGAATGAACGATCGCATTGTGAGCCGATTCAATTCTCACGATTCTTTTTTACGGCTCATTATTCAAATCTTATGGATCCGTGCCGGCCATGATTCAATTGAACGAACCTTATTGTAAGCAATGAGTCAATTCTCACAAATCTTTGAATGAACGATCGCATTGTGAACCGATTCAATTCTCACGATTCTTTTTTACGGCTCATTATTCAAATCTTATGGATCCGTGCCGGCCATGATTCAATTGAACGAACCTTATTGCAAGCAATGGAGTCAATTCTCAGGATTCTTATGGATCCGTGCTGGCTACGACTCAACTGAACGAACCGTATTCTAAGCAGTGAATCGAATCACATGATTCATTTTTAATACTCGTTCAAATGAACGACTCGTTCAATCTTTGGCCACCTCTAATATACACTATGAGAGGATAAAATACAGGGTGTCTCAGATTTTAATGGGGAAAATTTAATAGACGATAGAACTTGCAAAAATAAAACAAAAAGTTCATATCAACTTGTAAGATTTAAAGCTTCCTTTTTGAGATATAAGGTGTTAAAGTTACTTAAAAAAGAAAAAAAAAATTAAGATATCTTAGAAACTATTTAATCGATTTTGATATAACTTGACCCGTTTATAATACTTACTATGGGACTTAATTTGATGTAATTAGATTTAAGTTTAATGGCCAGGGGCGGCGGTGGGGCATCACTGTTAAATTATTTTAAAGGAAAAAATAGGCACGCCACTGCTTTTTTAGAGAAGTTTAATATTATTTTTGGATTTAGCAATTAAAAATATTATTTTTTTGTCTCCTGACTTTTTTGTCTATAACCTAACCATTATTATTTAATTTATTGTCCAGGGTGGAGTGAATAAATGAATTTATTTTTTTTTCGCAAGTAAGCAAGATAGACAAAGAAGTCAGGAGACAAAAAAAATAATATTTTTAAATACTAAATCCAACAATAATATTAAACTTCTAAAAAAGCAGTGGCGTGCCTATTTTTTCCTTTAAAATAATTTAACAGTGATGCGCCACCGCCGCCCCTGGCCATTAAACTTAAATCTAATTACATCAAATTAAGTCCCATAGTAAGTATTATAAACGGGTCAAGTTATATCAAAATCGATTAAATAGTTTCTCAAATATCTTAATTTTTTCTCTTTTTTAAGTAACTTTAACACCCTATATCTCAAAAAGGAAGCTTTAAATCTTACAAGTTGATATGAATATTTTGTTTTATTTTTGCAAGTTCTATCGTCTATTAAATTTTCCCGATTAAAATCTGAGACACCCTGTATAACTCGAAATATTAGTGATATACCTTTTTTAATCAATTAGTGATTAAATGTTTTATGAACATTTTCTAAAATTATAATTATTTACCTTTAAAATATTTCGTTACAGCCGACATAGCCTCAATTATTATGACCCCACTAAAAAAACTGGTGGGTAAAACTATGCTAACTATACTGGGATAATAATTTATAATACAAGTTAGACCTTCTGGAAGATATCAAAATATTTACTTTTTTATTTTTTAAATTTTTACATATTATACTTCCCAACACTTTTAATATAAACATATAATACATTTTTCATATACTCGCTATTTAAATCTGTGTAACTATTTATATAAATATACTGGTAGATTACGATATTTCTCCGATGGTGGCAGCACCGGCGGTGAATGCACCAAGCCTATTATATTCCATTTATTAAAAAATGACTGATCTTTTCTCAAAAATTTATATTTTATTAAAAAAAATTAACAAATAGACATTTTTATTTACTAACATTAATGCTTAATGTACAATTTTTCTTAATTTACAGTGACATTTATCGATTCCACGTAATTAATTTTATATTAATCTGTTTTTTTTTATATTTAAGCCACTTATTGATATCAGTAATGATTTTTAGTAATTCCAAAATACTTTAGAAAATTATCGTGCGCAAATTGCGAGTTTGATAATCAATTACACAATACATAGAATTTATTTATCTACAAGGCAACACTCAAGCCAAAGATTTAATATAAAATTTCAACCTATCTAACTAGTAAGTCCCTTATTTTTCTCAGTTTGAGTTTGTTGAGTATTCATTTGGTAAATGCCGCAGATTTAACTAGTTTATAATTATTGTGAATAGTAAAAATATAAAATAAAAAATGTTTGAGCCAACTGTTCCAACAACTTCAATAAAAGATTTAGAAAGTTTAACAAAAGATCATGTTAAAGGTCGAATAGTAAAGCATGAAGTACGCCCGCTGACAGAAGTGGGAGAAAATTTTGGAAGTGAAATTGTAGTAGTTGATATGACAGTGGAAGAAGATGAAAAGGAACACGTTGTGCATGCGGTGGCCAAGCTGATTCCTCCAACTGACATGCAACAGGAAATATTCAATACAAAGGTGACCTACAAAAACGAAATCGGGTTTTATGCGGAAATAGTGCCCGCTTTGAAGCTATTCCAAAAAGAACAAGGCGTGGCCAATGTGGCTGAAGTGTTAGACTATTTTCCGGAATTATATGGCGCAAGGATCAGCTTGAATCCTAGTTCTAACGATATAGATAAGGATGCCGTCATTTTAATGGAAAATTTGAAAATCAGCGGTAAGTCCCGTGAAAAATATTGTACAGTGTGTCCCAAATTCGAGCCTCATCATTGTAATATCGGAAACTAAAAAGATACGAGGTTGGTTAAATAGAGAAAATGTTGCGCAATTTGATGCTGATCAAAAAAAGAAATAAATAAAAAACTCAAAAAGTGACATGCACCTTTAGAGTTTCAAAATTCCAAATACTTCCGAAGATTTTTGGCAAAAAACGAATATTTGCCATTTAATTTTATTTTTTTATGGCTCTATTTGAATAGCTATCACGGTGCGGCAATAGTGCGTCGGGCATCTGTAGCTCCTAGAATAAAGTACTTGAGATTTTTTTAAGTGCAAACCTAAAATATGTACTAGGATGTATTTCAACTTCAACAGGGTGGTTCAAAAAAGTGTGAGTGAATCGGGATGACTTTTTTTAAATGGAACCCCCTGTATATTATTGCATTTTTGGCTTCCTTTCAGATCACTTTACATAATCCTAAGATATGAGTAAATATATTTCGATAGTTTCAGAGATATTAATAAATAGATAAAATATATTTTTTTACGGCCTTTCTTAAAAAAGTTATAAAAAATACAAAAACTTAGTCTTGAAATCAAAACTATATTAGGTATTTACTTTAGATGGTCTGTACTAACTTTGCTGTAATGTAAATATGGTAATCTTAAAGCATACAGGATGTTCAAAATTCTACTCCAAACTTTCTAAAGTATAACATAATTTTTCTTCGTTTTTTTTTTAAATGGAACACCCTGTATATTATTTTTTTATTACATGAAGCATTATTAACAAATAGACATTTTTTATACTTAGAGTATTTCAAGATTTTTAACGGTTTGGCAAATACTCGGGGTATTATTTCATATATGGCTCTATCAACTGTAACATACGAGAAAAAAATTCTTGGGTGGCTTTGATACAAATTTACTGAGGAAAATGCGATATAAAATAATATAAAACTCTAAATATCTACAAAACCGTTAAACATTTTGAAATACTCTATATACAAAAATGCTCATTTTTTAATTCTCCATCTAATAAAGAAATAATATACAGGGTGTTCTATTAAAAAAAAAAACGAAGAAAAATTATTTTATATTTTAGAAAGTTTGGCGTAGAATTTTGAACATCCTGTATGATTTAAAACTATGATATTTAGAGCATAGTTCCAAGTACAGACCATCTAAATTAAATATCCAATATAGTTTTAATTTCAGGGCAGTTCTAGTATTTTTAATATTTTTTTTTACTGAAAAGCTAAAAATACATATTTATTATTTATTTATTAATATCTCTGAAACTATAGAAATATATTTACTATATCTTAGGATTATTCATATCTTAGGATTATTTCGGATCACTTTACATAAGATCCGAAAGGAACCCAATAGTGCAATAAAATACAGGGTGTTCCGTTTAAAAAAATTATACCGTTCCTTCAGTTTTTTGAGCCATCTTGTAGAAGTTGAACTATTTTCCTGAAATACAACTTTAGGTTTGTAGTTAAACAAAATTCGCAAGTTTTTTATTTTACGAAATTATATCTAAATAAATATGATATTCCCATTGCTTCTTTTTTGTTCTACAAGATGGTGTGATTCCAAAGACTTTCAAAGAAACGTTTCGTCTTTGGGCTGCCATCATCAGCTTTCTTTTTTTTTAATTCGGTCCTAAGAATGTCTGGGGTCCCAAAACCAATGATGTATCACAGTTATTCAAAAAAATCATAGGAATGTAATTTTCATAAGAACTAAAAGAATGTGTTTGAGAGAGACATTAATATATTCTAATTTTTGGTAAGACCTTTAGTAAGACGTTACCAGAAAATTATTAAAATCAATTACATAATTGGTTTTTGGACTTTAGAAGTCCTTAAAAATCTTAATAAAAATCGAAGGCAGTATTTAAAAAAGAAAATTAATGATGGTAATTCAAAGAGACGAAACGTCGCTTTAAAAATTTGATAGCACCATCTTGTAGAACAAAAAAGTAGCAATGAGAATGTGACACTTAAATTTTGATATATCTATTCAAATATAAAGTTATGAAAAAATAAAAATAATATACTGAATATTCGTTTTTTTTTTGTCAAATATCTTCGGAAGCATTCGGAACTTTTAAACTTTTAAGATGGTGCTATTTGATCAATATCCCCGAAATCCCCGAATCTCCACGAATCATTCAATCTAAAATGATTAAACGACTATTATACACTTAGTCCTTCAAAGATCATATTGTATTTTTACTAAGCAAAAAGCCAATATCTAAAAGTTATATTTCCGTGTGCGCTATTAACTTTTATTTGCAACAAGAATTGTATTGTTTTTACTTACTAAATATGAATGTTACTTTGTTTTGTCTATTTTAATAAAGCTCTTTTCTCATTTTCTTTTACATATATGTAAGTAGCTGCATTTTTATTAAGTATTTGTTTAAATCACATTTCTCATTCTGGTAGTCAATTCCAGGATCTCGGGATTATAGGTTAAAATCCATGGATTTCAAAACGGGATCCCGATACCAAAAACTGGCAAACCTACTCGTACCTCTTCTAGTTTTCGAGATCCCAATAATGAGGGTCGATTTTAAGACACCCTGTACAGGGTGGGTCAAATTCGACACTTTTAAATGGAAACTGCCTTTTCTATAGAAGATAGACGAAAACTAATATCGGTGTCTGAAGCTCAATTTTCGTCAAAAACATGATGGTGAAAACCGCACATCAATATCTGTTACCGTTTCGGAGTACGGGGTGTTTTTCAAAAATGTGCGGGGTGTTTTTCAAAAAAATTTTATCAAATCGCTGTAACTTTTTTGCTATGGAAAATTTTGTAGAATTTAATGGTTTAAGTATATTTTTTTTAAATTAATAATTTAAGAGTTATCAAAAGAAAAATGTATTTTTTATTTGGGACACCCTGTATATTTTTAATTAACTGAAAAGAATTTAAAATTACCGGTCCAAAAATATAGCACACTTGATATTTTGTTACAATACAGAATTTTAAAAGTTCGCCACTTTTAACTAGTAGGCTTTGGACCCCTTATTGATGATATGCCCTTAATGGAACTCGAAAACATATTTTTCCAGCAAGACGACGCACCGCCTCTGAACGCTGAAGTTATCAGCAAATTTTTGCAGCCAATTTCAAGAATAATTGAATAGCTAACCAAGATTCCAGCCGTTGGCCGTCGAGGCCGCCTGACTCAGTGCCCATGGATCTAATCCTATGGATATATTTGCGGAAGAATAAAGGTTCCTTATTCTTCCGTATGATCTAGACAAGAAATAGAAATACTTAACAGTTATGAGAGGGTATCTTTCACCCCCACTGAGTTGATGAATTCCGAGAGAAATGTTCAAAAACTGCCCCGTCTGTCCATAACAGAAGACGGTCGATATGTCGAACACCTGTAGCAAAATCTCATGTCTTGGTTTGCTATTTATTTTTATTGTTATTAGATATAGTTTACTTGTGTTGATGTTGGTTAAATATATTTTAAATTGTTATAAAATTCTGCATCTCTCCAAATATTATTTTCGTTTTAATTGATGCTCACTGCTAGAATTTTTTTGCATTACAGCCGGTGCCGTTCAAAGCCCCTAAAGCCCCTAAAGCACTTATATGCCACTACTAAAGCCCCTAAAGCACTTATTTAAAGCGGGCGAATTTTTATATACTCTATATCTCGAAGAGGAATCGAGCAAAATATCAAGTGTGTTATATTTTTAGAAAGGCAATTTTAAATTCTTTTCAATAAATTAAAAATATACAGGGTGTCCCGTATAAAAAATCAAATTCTCTGTTGATAATTCTTAAATTATTAATTTTAAAAAAATTATACTTAAACCATTAAATTCGATGTAAAAAGGTGCTTTGGAAATGATTTCAGAAAAATACAAAATTTTCCATAGCAAAAATGTTACAGCGATTTGTTAAAAATGCATATTTTTGAAAAACACCCCGTAACTCCGAAACGGTATCTGTTACCGATCGATATGCGGTTTTCACCATCATATTTTTGACAAAAATTGAGCTTCAGACACCAATATTAGTTTTTGTCTATCTCCTATAGAAAAGGGTGTTTCCATTTAAAAGCGTCGAATTTGACCCACCCTGTACATTAGACCTTATAATACAAAAAGATAAGCCAGTCAATCAAGTTACTTAAAGATAAAGGACAGAAACGTCAAATACATAAATATAAAAATATTAATTTAATTTATGTAGTCTTAATTATGAAGTACCACAGTTAGTAGTGATAATTTTAATTTTTGTCTCTAAATTCTTCTTGGAAAAAAAACAATTAAAACCTACGCTCTCAATCATTAAAAACTAAAAGTAGCTATGACTGCATTTTTCTGTGTCCTAATAAATGTTTTAAAGATCAAAACAAATAACGTGACAAGAGTGATACTTCACTTAGGCTTATCAAATTTCTATATTCTATTGTATGATTAGTCAACTATACAAACAAAGCATAATTATTCAAGCTGGAATTCATATCACATGCATTAATTTAATTGCAAATGGGTACATCAAATGCAGTTTTGATACATACCTACGAATAGCCGTTAATTAATGCTTAATTATAATATTACTGAAAGGGTTAGTAATAACTAATTATTATGAACTAAATAATTATTTGTGGAGTAGGTAATTAATATATAAATCAATGGTTAAAAAATAAATAATTGGATTAGTAGAAGTCCCTACAGAAATATACGGGGTGGTCCGAATTGTATTCGGAAAATTTCGGCAGCACATGTATATTCTACAGATAAAAATAAGTATAAAAATTCGTATAAATTTATGTCCAATAAAATGCATTGTTTCGGAAATACAGGATGTAGAAGTTTCATTTTTATTTCGAATTTTTCCAAATAATTTCTTAACTATAGTCGATATTTCGATAAAAGTTAGTGTCTTAGTGTTCTTTCGAATGAAAAATTTGATTTCGATATCAATACGACTCTTGCTTGTAAGAGGCGCCACCTACATGTTTTTTTTTTATTTTTTTGAACTTTTCACTGTACTGTGTGACAAAATAAACATTTCAGCCATTTTCTACGTAAAAAATTTCTCTTGATAAAAATCTACGAGCAGCTGTTCTTAAGATATTTAGAATGGAAATAGTCAATACATGTCATTATTGACAAAAAATAAACAATGGTAAGTATAGATAATTATTCAACTGAAATGATAAATTTGGAAACTTTTTATTTTTTTAAATGTTTTCTTCGAAAAAATTATGATAAAACACTTTCTGTTGAACTTTTGGCACAAAAATATTTCAAATTTTTGATTTCAGTCGGCAAATTTAGTCAACATGTTTAATTTATGTCAATGATGACAGGCATTGATAATTTCGATTCCAAATATCTCGACGTAAAAAACATGATAAATGTATATTTTTTTCTTAGTATTTTTATACAGGTACAGACAAAAAAATTACTCTTAAGAAGCAGTTAAGAAAGATGTGGGTGGCGCCCTCTACAAGTAGGAGTTATATTCTTCTTATCTCGCCCTCTTCTGCCGAAGGTTGGCGATCCAAATGGCAATTGTGGCTCTGGAAACTGCAGCCCGGAAGATTTCCGCAGATGAGTGTTCAAACCATCTCCTTAAATCTTTTAGCCATGAGTTCTGGCGTCTTCCTACTGATCTTTTCCCTTGCACTTTGCCCTCTATTATGAAGCGCAGTATTTCGTATCATCACCTCTCATCACATGACCCAGATATTGCATTTTCTTTCCTTGATGGTGTTCAGTATCTCTTTTTGTTTTTGCATGCGCTGGAGTACTTCATCGTTGGTGATCCTTTGTACCCATGAGATTCGCAGCATCCGTCTGTACACATACATTTCGAATGCTTCTATTCTCTTTTCGGTCTGTAAATTTAGTGTCCAGCTCTCACATCCATAAAATAACACAGAGAAGACGTAGCATCTGGCCATTCGAGTTCTGAGTTCCGCACTGAGGTTATGTCGTCTTGTAAAAAATGATTTCATACTCACGAAGATTTTTCTCGCTTGTTCCATTAATAAAAAAAATAAAAAAAATAAAAAAAATAATCCTCTCCTAAATATCTTATTGAGGTCAATTGTTCGATTGTTTGTCCCTTGACACGCAGGTGTGCATTTATTGGAGTCTTAGAAAAGACCAATAGTTTGGTCTTGCAAACATTGAGATGCAGTCCAAACATCTCACTATAGTGGACTACGGAATCTACGGAATCTATGATGCTTTGCAGTTCTTGTATATCGTTGGCTATTATAACCGTAGCATCGGTATATCTGATATTGTTTTTTGGGATTCCATTGAAATTGATTCCGCCCTGGATTCGATCCGTTGCTTCTCTAAATATAATCTCCGAGTACAGGTTAAGAAAGAGCGGAGACAAGACGCAACCCTGTCGAACACGGAGTTCTAGGAGGAGTTATATTGATCAAAATCAAATTTCTCAGGGCAAAAAACTCTCAGACACCAATTTTCATCCAAATATCGATGTTAGTTCAGAAATTATTTGGAGAAATTCGAAATAAAAATGAAACTTCTACACCCTGTATTTCCGAAACAAAGCATTTTGGGACATAAATTTATACGAACTTTTAATACTTATTTTCAGAATACTTTCTTTCAGAATATGCTGCCGAAGTTTCCGATAGCAACAATTTTTTATATTTCAAGGGGGGATATACGAAAAATAACGCTTTTCCCGATTTGTAATAGATTTATGTTGAATATCTAAAACATCTAATATAAAATAAATTTTGAGTATATAACGCATGTTGCGACACAAGAAAATCTGCAATTTTTTTTATTAAAATTAACTATTAAAGAAATTAAAATAATATTTCTAATTTAATCGTCTACAATTTTTTTTCTAGGTTTTAAAAATTTGGACAGACAAAATGGCTTCGATTTACCCACCACCAAACTAGTCTTGAAGACATTCGCCAAGTTTCAAGCTACGGTAGTGGGATTGAAATTAAAACGCCCAGATATCTTCGAAGCAAAAGTAAAACCTTACATATACGAGTGGAAGTCAGAACCCCCATTTATGACCTATGACAATGTAATAACCGAAAACCCCGAGACGGCCCATCTAGCACCTAGAGTTGCCAGAGCCTTGGAAAAAGGCAAATTAAGGATAAAAAGAATAAGAGAACCTTGGGCAACAATTATTCACAACGATGCCTGGGTTAACAATATCATGTTTAAATTGTCCAACGAAGAAGTAGTCGATATCAAATTGGTAGATTTCCAGATTTTCGATTATGCTTCTCCAGCTTGCGACGTGATCTTTTTTCTGCTGACCAGTGTCCAAGTACCAGTTTTGAAGTACCATTTCGACAAACTCCTCAGGTTCTACTATGACGAGTTTATTTCAACACTTCAATTGTTGAGAGTTGACATTAATCCTTTCACTTACGAAAGTTTTCAGGAAGAACTCAAAATAGAAGGTCCTTATCAAGTTTATCACTCCCTATTTCTCTTGCCCGTTGTTTTTGGACCTAAGGGAGGATTTCGAAAACCGCCAGGAAAAGTGCGTGAATGGAATCCAAATGGTATTTCAAATGGTTCAAGTTCTCCAGCAACCAATGGTCCTCCTAAACCTGGAGCGTTTAAATTAACACAGCAGTGCAAAGAAAAATTGTGGTACATTGTAGAAGAAGCTGCAAAGAGAAAGTGGATTTAATTTAATCTATTACCAAATTTATATTTATTATACTTCAGTTTGTTTACACAGAAAAGGTTAAATATTTATCTTAAATTTAAAAAATATAATTCTTTTTCCAAAAGTAAATGTTTTATTGAGATATAACGTAGTAGTGTAATATTTGGAAAGTTCAAAACTTGCATGGGATTTTCTGTGTTTCTAACGGTGATGCATCACCCCGTATATTATTATGTAAAGTCAAAATAAATAATCAATTAATATCTGGGTAAACTTTGAGGTTTATGATGTGTTATGTAGTTTATTTTTATGGCTATGAGATAAGTAAGGCGCTCTTTTTTAAAAAATAGATTTTTGATATGTTTATTATTACAAATAAAAATAGATTGGAAAGATATTAATAATTTTCTATAAAAAAATGGTATATTTTGGATTTATTAGAATTTTGATTATTAAAAAAATTCCCCATCCTTAGTGATATTAAGGTTTAGCTAAGGATTTAGCTATGACTTATAGATATTATACCAATAAAATAAGAATCTAAATGGAGAAAAAAAAACGAATCTAGGATCCAGATCTCATCAAGAGAGTTCTTTTAAGTTGATTTAAAAAAAAAACGAAATAAATAGTAATTAAAGGCCTTAAAAAGAAGTTTTCTCATTTTAGGTTTAAACGAACTCATAATATTTAATGTAAAAACATAAATTTAAAGTTTTTAATAAAAACTAAGGCGGCGAAAAGACCTCAGGAACAGACATCTCTCTCCCTCTTATTCTATCTCGTAATATAGAAGTGCAGTAGTTCGATTTTGTAGAGAAACTTTCAGCTTTTAACAGAAATTTATGTAAATTAGTTGGAAAAAAACTACCTACTACTTTTATCTATTCGTTATTAATTTTTCATAGTTTTGGCGATTAAGTAAAAAATGACTTTTTTTTTTGATAAGTGAACTAGAGTATAGTAGTATCCTTCTTTTAAGCATAACGTTATACCTGTCAGGTAAGACAGATTAATAATTGCGTATACACTGAAAGTTTTAACTGAAAAAAAAAGATGGAATTTTACTACAAAATTATATTTATGCTCTAAATTTCATTAGTCAACACGCAAAGATATTTCTTTGAATGTGGTAGACAATGATTCAGTATTGAAACTAAAATAATTTCCGACTTCCATTGCCTTGATTTATTCTGATTATCACAACTCTTCGGTTAGAATGACCTTGTTACAAAGTGACCGTTATAAAGTGTAAACTAACCTAATTCCTAAAACTACAGAGCTTTTCTACCACAGCCAGATATTCAACCGTGAAGAAGTTAGCAGTGAATCGTGAGGTTGTCCACTTAGGATGCCTGCATTGGTGTGTTTTATCAGTGGTTGCCGTATCGTAGATGTTTTTTACCGTACTAGGATTGCTAAACATGTTACACCTAATTAGAATGGCTATCAGGATGTGCTGTGTCTTCCGTACTGTGTCTACTGAGGCTGTACTGGTTATTGCAGGAATAGCACCAATCAACCTTCAGGTGGAGGAAAGGACCATGGGAATAGGAGCAGATAAATGCGCAAAAACTGAGGCCAGACAAAAGACGCTGAACAGTTGGCAAAATAGGTGGGAGGCCATGCGTGAAGTGGTTCAGTGGAGTAAACGCCTCATAGCAAACATATTACTGTGGATTGACAGAAAACATGGTTCTGACCACCTGGCTCATCTACTCACTGGACATGGTTGTTTTCAGGCCTACTTCTGCAGATTTAAGCTGGAAAAAAAAACCTTAAACACCGCAATACCTCTATTGTGGGGATTTTGATGACGCAGAGCATACCTTTTTCCAATGCTTCCGATGGCAGGAACAACGTACTACCATAGAAGTGCAAATAGGAAAAAAAAATACTCCTGATAATCTCCTCAGGCTAATGCTGGCAAGCGAAGACCACTGGAAGCTTATCTCCTATATGGGAAAAAAGTCATCTCACAAAAAGAAAATGACAGACTGGAGAGCAGGCAACACAGCTAAGATAATAGCCAGAGAGTGAGAAGTAATACCTACTCGTGGTTCCTTACTCAATTGACAGCTGATGAAACTAGAGGCGGTTTTTTAGTGGGTAAAAATCCCATACTACCTGCTGTCACACATCAGGCAGGTACCTTTCGAAGATTTTCTCCCTCCCAAAAAAAAATGTTATACCTAATTGTTTGCTATAAAAACGGCTTCTTTAAATTTACGCTTTTTCCATTGAGGTCCCCTATGGAGAACCCGAATTTCCGACCACTTTATAATGTTTTGTTTTGACCAAAAATGGTCCAATACCTCACATTGTTTCATCTTTTTGTTCATGTTTTGTGCTCGCTATGTCGTACATTTAGAGTTAGTCTCTCCAATATACGACTCACAGCATTCACAAGGCACCTGGTAGATTCACTTTTTCTCTTGTTTCAATGATTCCGGCTTTGTTTTTGTTAGAACGCTTCTTAGAGACGACATAGATTTGAATTATGTCTCTTCAAAAAAGGAAAAAAGTCCTGAGTATTTCGCCACTGAATAAAAATCTTCAAAATAAAATAGTTATTTTAAACACTGTTAATCCAACGGAGACTAATTGACCGTATAAAAACCGTTGATGTTCTGTTAAAATGACGCTATGAATTAATAATATTTTTATAGACGTAGGTATCTGTTTAAAAAAATTGTTCTCGAATAGTTGCATTTAGATATTTTAAATAGTTTTTTTCTTTGTTTTTTGTGTTTTTTATTTTTTGCTTCCTACAACGGGGTAGATACATACTTCCCGAAACGTTAAGCATTTTTTTGTCGTTTAGGCATATTTTTTTATTAGTAAACCACTGCTGACAATTAGTCTCCGTTGGATTAAAGCAGCAGTGTTTACAAAAAATAACTATTTTATTTTGTAGATTTTCTTACAGTGGCGAAATTTCCCATAGGACTTTTTTGAAGAGATGAATCCGTCACAGAGGTATAGACATGTTTTGAATTATATCAACACAATCTAGATTATTATTACAATAATGATCTAGATTGCATGCAGTGACCATTGGTCTGATCTTGGATATGCATTGCCGCTTTTCTCTTTAATTAAGTAGATCATATTTTTTAGTTTTACTGGTTTCCTTGATCATTACTTACTCGATGACAACCAAACAAAACTTTTTATAGTAGTTGAATTGATATGACATATAGACTTACCAATATATTTTTTGTAAGCATACAGTCGATACAATTGTTACACACACAAATAGTAAATCAAATGTATCCATCTGTTACAAAATTTAAGCAATCATATAGAGAATAGTGTAATCAGAGAATAGTGCAATCATCTCAAGAATTGGGCAGCATTCTAAACTTATATTTATTAATGTTTAAACAATATGGCAGGCATATTCTATTATTTGCATAGTAACTATAATAACTAATATTGCATAGCGAATAGACCAGTTTCGGGGGTTCATCGCTCTTTGGGAAATATGCAATAATGCTTTGTAAGCATTTCGTCAACACCTTATTACTTTTGTACTAATTTATGATCATTCACTCAATAGATGTGTTAAACTATACTTGGTTTTACTGGCTATAATCCCGTCCCTTTACATGGCGATCCTGGCAGGATGGGAATTATTAATAGCTATTATAATAAGCATAATATAATATATCAAAAAAGTTATATTTATTTAATTATTTACAACTTATCCCTCACCTCTAAAACTTTTTAATTTCACTATCTAGTTTTAATCAAACCATAATCTCATATAATTATACCACGATACATATATAAATTAAACGTTATCGGTCGCTTTACTGAAAACACTAATTACTATAAAACACTGGACGTTCTTATCAGAGACACACTTCATTAAACAATTATACACGCCCGACTCCATATTGATTAAACTTTACCTTCCCCAAGTATAAGATAAATCACGCAAATCCGATAGAAAGTTTTGACTAGTTAGTTAGTTGGAGAAGATGTTCAATCCCAGAGACAGACCTGCTTTCATTGAAAACGCCGAGTGTTGTGTGCCCTAACCCCTATTGAACTTTATGAGCAGAGATAGAAAAACTGTCAAAAATGTTGTTTTAAAAATGTAGTACTGACATATGTGCATAATTTGTTAATCAGAATAAAAATATTTTTCAATTATGTCAATACAATAGTCTGGTAAACATGCGGTACTTCATACTAGCTGATACTAGGTAATGAAAAGACATTTGCAAAGAGCTGTAAAGAGTGATTCACGGCCTTGGTACGTTAAACGTTTATGGAGAACCAATAATAGGATTTTTTTGAAAATTTGGATTTTTGCATAAAGGCACCTGATCCATCTGTCTAAATTATTTTAGCAGTGTTGCAACTTCATACTAAGTGGTATAGTAAACGCCACGAATGTTTGGGAGTGATTCATCGGTCGCTACCATGTGAACTAATCTGTTCAAGGTCACATAAAACTTAATTCCAGTGCCGCGGCGTTTCAAGTCATATAATAATCAATATATAATCTGTTGAAATTTGTTGTTTTAACTGTCAAAGTCTTGTCAAAACATATATTTGGTTATAAATATAAACTGGAATGCCCCATTGGTCGCACTGCAAGTACACCAATGGACTGACGCACAAAAACGAATCAATCAAAGAAACGCGATACAGTATCGTCTTTGTCAATCACGCTAAAGGTGCGTATTCATTATCCGCGCAGGCAGATGATTAGACCGGGCCTTTAAAACCTACGTCTGCGGTAAAAATTTACGTTTTTAATGTAAAAAAGATAGCGCGCATGCCGATTCTAACTTCATCAAGCGATTAATCACTCCCAAACATTCGTGGCGTTTACTTTAGGATCTTTGTTATTTTAAATTGAATACCTGGTATATTATTACATTTTTGGAAACATCACAACCCACTCGGAATCGATTAATGATGAATCGAATATGGCGAAACTACTTTCATATCTCATATTTTTTTTTCAGATACTAACCTATACCTATCTCTAACAGTTTTCGAGATATAAAATAAAACATATTATGCGTAAAATTAGAAACTAAAAAAACTGATCTTGAATAAGCGTTGGTTAGAACATAAACCCGGCATATAAAATGCTAAAATTTGGTTGTAGAATGTTGAAAGTCGACATACTCGATCTGTCTGGATCTGTTTGATGTTGAAATTTGAAAACCGGTTTTAGGTATTGATTACAACCGGTTTTTCAGTCGGTGGTGCGGTGTACCGATGTTAACGATGATGTACCGATGTTAACAATTTGTGTAATACGGTGTCGCTGTCGATTTAAAATCGCTGTTGACACCGGTGTTGATGTCGATACCGGTGTTGATCTGTACAAGGTGGGTCAAATTCGACGCTTTTAAATGGAAACACCCATTTCTATAGATATCGATTCCATTTCTATAGTATGGATCGATAGGCAAAAACTAATATCGGTGTCTGGAGCTCAATTTTCATCAAAAACATGATGGTGAAAACCGTACATCAATATCTATTACCGTTTCGGAGTTACGGGGTGTTTTTAAAAAATGTGGATTTTTAACAAATCGCTGTAACTTTTTTGATATGGAAAATTTTGTATTTCTATGAAAACATTTCCAAAGCACCTTTTTACGTAGAATTTAATGGTTTAAGTATAATTTTTTTTAAATTAATAATTTAAGAGTTATCAACAGAAAAAATGATTTTTTATTTGGGACACCCTCTATATTTTTAAATAACTGAAAAGAATTTAAAATTACCTTTCCAAAAATATAGCACACTTGATATTTTGTTATAATCCCCTTCGAAATACAGAATTTTTTAAAGTTCGCCACTTTTAACTGGTAGGCTTTGGACCCCTTATTGATGATATGCCTTTAATGGAACTCGAAAACATATTTTTCCAGCAAGGCGACGCACTGCCTCTGAATTTTTGCAGCCAATTTCAAGAATAATTGAAGAGCTAACCAAGATCCCAGCCGTTGGCCGTCGAGGCCCAATCGAGGCCGCCTGACTTAGTGCCCATGGATCTAAGCCTATGGATACATTTGCGGGAGAATAAAGGTTTCTTATTCTAGCGTATAATCTAGACAAGAATTAGAAATACGTAGCAGTTATGCGAGGGTATCTTTCACCCCCACTGAGTTAATGAATTCCGCGAGAAATGTTCAAAAACTGCCGGGTCTGTCCATAACAGAAGACTGTTGATAAGTCAAACACCTGTAGCAAAATCTCATGTCTTGGTTTGCAATTTATTTTTATTGTTATTGGATATAGTTTAAATGTGTTGATGTGGGTTAAAATTGTTTTAAAATGTTATAAATTGTTATAGAATTCTGCGTCTCTCATAGCAAATATTATTTTCATTTTAATTGATGCTCACAGCTAGATTTTTTTTGCGTTACAGCCGGTGCCGTTCAAAGTCTACTTATTTAAAGCGGGCGAATTTTTATATACTCTATATCTCGAAGAGGAATCGAGCAAAATATCAAGTGTGTTATATTTTTGGAAAGGAATTTTTTATTAATTTTAAAAAAAATATACTTAAACCATTAAATTCTACGTAAAAAGGTGCTTTGGAAATGTTTTCATATAAATACAAAGTTTTCCATAGCAAAAAAGTTACAGCGATTTGTTAGAAATGCATATTTTTGAAAAACAACCCGTAACTCCGAAACGGTAACAGATATCGATATGCGGTTTTCACCATCATTTTTTTGACAAAAATTGAGCTCCAGACACCGATATTAGTTTTTGTCTATTTCCTATAGAAAAGGGTGTTTCCATTTAAAAGCGTCGAATTTGACCCACCCTG